CCGGGGGGGGCGCGGCCGGGGATGGGGCTCTGGGGCTCAGAACGGAGCAGGTTGGACGTGGCCCGCTCCGCTCACCGGAAAGACTGGCCTGCGGAGAAGCTACCCGGCTCCGGGGGAGTTTTTGAGGGTGACTGAACACAGGGTGTGAAGGAAGACCGACTGGTGGCTGGTGGACCTGACAGGCGGGCACGGTCCAGACTGACAGTCGCGTGGTGGCTCACATAGACACGTCTCACATGAGGCAAGCCCGGTGAGGAGGCCCAGAGCTGCAGGGGCAGATTCCAGGGCATGCGTATGCCAGAGACGAGAGAGCAGAATAACTTATCTCTGGCTTTCTTTAAATAATTAGTTGTGTGCGAGCAGTGGAGATCAGGATTACTGTGTAAGAATTTGATTTATGCACAACCTTTCAGAAGCACATTGGGTGAATAAAGGCACATCTGGAGTACGTCCAGGCTTGGGGAAATGCAAAGTAAAAGGAATCTGTGAAGTAGAATCTTTGTGGGGTGTAGTGTACCCGTGGAGGGAGGTGAGTGTGTGTTTATGTAGATGAAAAAAACTTCGTTGTAGTCTAAGTTTATCAGGTCTGGGAAGCAAACCTATAGAAGTGTAAGGAACCAAGGGAAAAGGGCGGAATAGGAACAATAGCCGATGATTGTAAGCACTGGTGGCTTCGGTACAGACAAGGGAATCCATTCAGTGAAATTCCGTGACTTTGTTTGTGGGACATGTTTACTGGTGTCCCTGTTGCACAGTTTTTCTGGCCAGGCAACAGGGAGTCTTTGAGTCCCTCTCGAACGTGTTGCGTGTGGTGCCACGCTGCTGCCGTGTGCTGGGGAAGGCTCATAGGAAAACAGTAGCTCCCACCTTCTGGGACACTGCATCTAGTGGGGAGACCTAGGTGTGAACACTCAGCTGTTCACGCTTCTCGATACATGAGGACACTGGAACTTAGAAATCCAGAGCTGCGAGTTTTACGTTCTTCATGCTCTGCCGTAACTGCCTCTGGAAGACGTCACAGTCTGGACCATTAGCCCCATTGCCCTCACTTTCCTAGGTTCCCACCAAGGATTAGTCCTAATTACTCTGCCCTGCCTGCACTCAATGAGAAACATCAGTCTCCCTGCTTTGGTCCCTAAGAAAAGGGGACATGTACTAATAGATTGTAAGAAGCAGAATTGTTTTTATTTATTTTGAGAGAGAATTTTGAGAGAATTGTTTTTATTTATTTTGAGCTGAAATCAAGAGTGGGACACTTAATCGACTGAGCCACCCGGGCACCCCAAGAAAAAGAATTTTAAGTTAGATTTCCTAGAATACGCAACAAGTCTCATGTCTTAAACAACTATTGTAAATCTGTATATATAAGATTCGCTTAGACAGTGAATTTTCCTTCTCCTCATATGTTGGTCCTGCTGCCCTGCCTTCTTTGGGGAGAAAGAGAACATTTCCTAGGTGAACAAGTTGCTTCTTGGGAAACTGGGGCCTGTCCCTCAAGCCCAGGACATGTCACTTTTCTCATAGGAACTAGATTATGGGAAAATGCGTCTAGCGGGGATGCATTCACTTTTCTCATAGGAACTAGAATATGGGAAAATGCTAATGCACACACATGTCTGTGTTTCCCCAAGCAGATTTCCAGCACAAGTTCACGGTTCAGGCCTCCCCCACCATGGATAAAAGGAAGAGTCTCACCAACAGCCGCTCCAGTCCTCCTGCGAGCCCCACCATCATTCCTCGCCTTCGAGCCATCCAGTGTGAGACTGTTTCCCAAATTAGCTGGGGCCAGAACACACCGGGGGCACCTGTCCCCTGCTCTGTCCAGCCACCGACTGGCCCAGGCTTGCTCCATCCATAACTTCTGCCACCTCTCCTCGACAATGTGTATATACATGCACATATGTACGCAAACCCGTAGCCCTCCTTCTTGTCTCTCTCCATTAGCTTTACTACTGCCTCCTCTACCTTTTACTCTCAGATCCCAGCAAAGGGGGTTGTGGGTATCGACGGGATCCTTAGTGAACTACAAAGCAATTTGGAAACTGGTGTGTGATATAGATACCCTGGTACCTGGCCTGGGTTGCTTGGTACCCTGGCCTACGGACCTTGTGCACTCTCCGCCATGTTTGGGGCATCACTGTTTTTCTTTTGTTCATGCTTCCCAGGGAAGGGTGTTTTCAAAGTGTAGTTCCTAAGAAAACTCGCCAAAGACTTTGTGATAGGCCAAATTGGGACCGATTTTATTTTCACCACTGTGTTTACTGAAAAGAATTTATACACACACACGTGTGTGTGTGTGTACGTGAACAAAGTAGTTCCCCTAACTTAAAGATAGAGATTTCATTTTTTTAAAAGCCCTAGATTTCTAGCTATCCTTGAAAAATCGGTTCGTATCAGTGGATTCCCTTTTTCACGTGGCCGCAGTTGGCTAGAACCAATGGCAGTTTCCTTATGCACCGTATTTTGCCTCAGTCCCCTCAGCTCCCTATTTTTTGGTGTCTGGAATCATTCACTCATGTATGATGTAAGCCTCTGAAGCATTTGGGTTTCAGCCCTTGTTATAAGGTAGCAATGTCAGAAGAATGTTCCTCCTCTCTTATCTAGTATATTTCTCTAGGCCTGTTCCCTCCCCTTCTCCTACTCCTGACTTCCTTCTCCGTAGTCTTGAGTTCCTCATTATCTTCCTTTCTTACCTACAATTCCTTTCTGCACTTCCAAGTCTTCCTTCCCCCCTTATATTTTTTCTCTCCTTCCTAACTCCTCACCCACTGCCCCTCCCCGTCCAGTCCCACCCAACAAAACCAAGTTCTTTAAGTCAGATCTGTTTGGAACTCTGCCGTCTGGCTGGCCTGAGCTCCAGCTTTGCATTGGACTTACGAGAATCTGGGCAGTTTTTCCATGTTTGGTACTTTGCGAGTGCTCAGTGATTGGTGGCTGAGGACTTGAAGGCTCCACTTGGGCACAGAGTTTTTGAGGAGGTGTGACTTCTTCCCTGTAACTCCGTGCGTGTGTGTCCACGTGCGCATGTGTCTGTGTCTGTCTGGTGAGGTAGAGGCTAGTTTTGGAGGGGGGGGCCTGTCTATCTTTCTTTCCAGATCCCATCCAACTTTTCTTATTCACAGTGACACCAGGTGAAAGCAGCAAAACCTGGGGCCGGAACTCAGTCGTCCCCAAAGAAGAAGGGGAGGAGGAGGAGAAGAGGGCCCCCAAGAAGAAAGGACGGACGTGGGGGCCAAGTACACTTGGTCAGAAGGAGCTTGCCTCGGGAGACGAAGGGTAAGAGCCAGAATGTAAGAGGTTCTTTCCACTTAAAGATGGGTATACCCTTTTAAAACTATGATATGAAACACCTTCTCCTCTGTTGTGTTTCATTGCTTTCTGAGAAATTACAAGCTTCAGTTTTCCAACGTCCTCATTTCCTGAACCTCCTAGGACAGGGCTCAGCATACGTTTTCTGTAAAGGGTCAGATAATAAATATTTTAGGCTTTGTGGGTCACATCCTCTCTTTTGCAATTACTCACCTCCTGTGTTGTAGTGCAAAGGCAGCCATAGACGATGGGCACTTTGTAAATGAATGAGCGTGGCTATGTTGATTCAGTAAAACTTTACGAAGGTAGGTGGTGGACAGGATTTAGCCCCCTCGTTGTAGTTTGCCGACACCTATAGGGGTCTGACTCGGAGTTGCAGGTACATTAAGCATGAACCAAATGTGATGAGTTCAGCCAGGTGTCCTACTTGTACCCGGCTCTTCCCTTAAAACATCCGCTCAGAGCCAAGAGAAGGAAGAGCAAGGCTTACAGGCCTCTCTTGACTTGGAGGCTTATCCCGAAACAAGGGCAGGTGGAATGACCCAGCCCTGGTAGCGAGTACACTCAGATGTGACCCCAGGGCCAACCGGAGCTTCTCTCAAGCCCCACCTCGTTGCTACACGGACAGGTGTGAGCGCGTCCTCTGAGCGAAGCAGGGGACCCGGCTTCGTGCCCTGGATGTGCTTGTGTTCTTACAAGTTAAATTCTCTCAAGTCCCGGTTCTTCGTAGACCAGGTGCTCACCGTGTAGTGGTGGCGAGCATAACCCCTGACCCCAGGCTGCCTGGGCGTGAATCCTGGCTCCGCCATGCCTCACCGTGTGGCCTCGTGTTTCCTCATCTGTAAATCGGCAGTTATACCAGTACCCATCTCCCGGGGTTGATGTGAGGATTAAATAAGTCCATTTTGGGAAGTGCATACAAGATTAGCGGGCTCATAGGAAGCATTTGTAATACCTGCTGTGATGGTTCTTCCCTGCTCCTGGTGCGTTTTCTATTTCGTACCTTCTTCTTGGTGTTAGAGGCTAGAATCCTGTTTTTTGACTTTTCTGAGCCTGTGAGAATAGGCAGTAATCCCCTTCGCCCTTTTCAGAGACTTTCCTGAACTTGTGCCCGAACCTGTAAGTGGCCTTGGTATTCCTTCGAACACTAAGAAGATTTCATGTCCAAAATCTGTTCTCTCATGTCAGATCTGAGCTGAGAACGAAAATAGCAATTTGATTCAAAAAGGATTGACTCCGAAGCCAGGCTTTAGAAATCACAAATACCTTGGAATAGAAAATTTAGGTACATCGGGTGAACGGCCTGAGCTCTGTGAGGGCTCGATGATGGTCCTCTAGGAATGGTGAATTGCTCTGCTGTGCTAGGTCCTGTAGAGGCAGGATCTCCCTCAGTTTGGATTCCTTCGAGCCCTGGGGTAGAGTAGGATTAGGATGGGTCTGAAAGTCAGTCACGCTGAATCCCTGGATGTTTCTGACATTTCAGTAGCTTCTCTGGTTCTGCTTCATTTATAGATGTTTTTCGTCTTGTTTAGTAAATTAACTTTGGTTCATGTTTCAAAATATTGACTTTGAATTTTCCTCCTCCTTGCATAGATTTGTCCTCAAAACTATTGAAGCAGTTCATAGAGGTGGGGGAGGGGAGGGGCAGAGAGAAGGAGAGACAGAATCCCAAGCAGGCTCTGCACTGTCAGCATAGAGCCCATTGTGGGACTCGAACTCAAAAACTGTGAGATCATGACCTGAGCCAAAATCAAGAGTCGGACGCTTAACTGACTGAGCCACCCAGGCGCCCCAGAATATGACTTGAATTTTTTATGATTCTCAATTCCTGTTGAAGAAATAAAGTATATTCTGTTCATTCTCGAGTAAAGGCTTCTTTAACGTCAGAAATTTTGGGAGCCTCTGTGTGATATTTCTAATTTTAGGCCCTATCAACGGAAGAAAATAATCCCTAACAACAAAAAGCTATATTGAATTCAGTAATGTTAAGTGAATATACATCCTTTAAAAAACGAGTACAGGGGCGCCTGGGTGGCTCAGTCGGTTACAGCGTCGACTTCGGGCAAGGTGCGATCTCTACAGTCGTAGACACCCCGCGTCCGGCTCTAGGCTGATGAAGCCAGCCTGGAGCCTGCTTCCCACGATTCTGTGTCTCCCTCTCTTTCTCAGCCTCACGTTTCAAGCAGCAACAATATGCAATATAAAAAATAAATAAACGTTAACAAAAAAATTTAAAAAAAAAAAAAACGAGTACATATCTATAGGAAACATATGCACTTGCTTGTAGATAGCTTGGGTATCTGTGGGTTCACGCGGCCTCTGCAGTTATGCTGTGGCTGCTCAAGGACCTTTGTCCCACAGATTGGGAGGTCCTGGGTCTCCTTGTTAGGATCCCTTCATCGCGTGGGCTTTGCTTACCGGGCCAGAGGAGGGCAGCTACCAATGTAGCTAGAGTCAAGCCTTGAGGGCTCCCATGTGGGAGATACTGAATTGGATGTACCCACTGTCGCCTACTACTGATTTTCTTTATTCATTGAAGATCCCCTCAGAGACGTGAGAAAGCTAATGGTTTAAGTACCCCATCAGAGTCTCCACATTTCCACCTGGGGTGAGTCTAATCTTCACCCTTTCATCAAATGCGTTCGTAATAGTCCCCTTCCATTTCCTTGTCCTCACAGCACATCCGGTAGAATCAAACCTCATTATTGCCAAGGCTATGCTGATTTTTTTCCTTTAAAGCAGTACCATCGTGCACCCTGGGAAATTCCTGTGTTGGTCTGACTTTCCCTCTCCTCACTTCTCTGACCATTCCCGTTGTGGGGATTCTCCTGGCACCCTTAGTTTTAGGGGGCAGTACATGACTATTTATGCTTTGAACTTTAGCACTGGCTTTGACTTTGCTAATCTGGATTCCCCTTGAACTCAGAGCTGGAGGTGATGTTATAAGATCATCAGCTAAAAGTCCCAGGCTGTGGGTTTGGTTAGCATGCTTGTCCCTGGCTGTGTATTTTGGTTGAAACCAATGGTGGCCGGAATATACTTGAATTCACTGGTGTTTCTGACAGCACTTGAAATAGAGATCTGAAGTGAGGGGAAAAGTTGGTCCCTCTCTCTCCCTCGAGATGGACCGGGAAGAGTGGGCTTTAGCTGAACAGCTTTTCCTGGCCCTAAAATGAGAGCCACCTCTGGTTGTAATCCTGGTATGTCCAAGGCAGCCATAACCCACGGAGTCCTCAGCCTTCTCTCTTCGTTGTCCATTAGAGAAAAGACCAGTGCTTCTGGGCCTCTGACTCCCCCATCGTAAAGGGGGTTGATGGGGTGCCCCGTCAGGATCCTCAGAGTTACTGGCTGGCAGGTGTGAGCTCATCACAGGGACTTGATAGCAAGCTCCTGCCCTTTTCCTCTTCATTCCCAGACAAACCAGGGGCTCGAGTGCAGCCTTATGTACTACCCACATAGGTCTGTCCCAAAGTGCACTGCTTTGGTGCAGCTTTGTTGGCTGATTTTTGTTTTTGAAAAGTGGCTTGGAAAGTTGCCTAAGCATGCCGTGAGCTTGGAAGGAGAAGTTGAGAAATGGCCCATCCCTGCTAGCTCATCTGCCCAGGGCTCGCCTGGGATCACAAGGCTTCGAATTGCAGAGTCTCTGATGTCAGCAGTGTGCTGGACACAGTGTCCTGGAGTGATCGTCTCTGCCTTAAGGTGGGCTCAGGCAAGACCCTGGCCAGTGCTGGGCAGTCCTCATTCTTCCTGTCTTCTTGCCGGCCTGCCTGCTAGATCTTTCCACAGCTCCGTAGCAGCATGTGAAGGGGTGGGTTCATGGCCCTGCTTTTCTTTTCCTGGAGCATGTGCACTTCTGTTTGTGACACGAGGGGACCCAGTAATGTTCGTTACCCTGAGGCTCTTGGGCTTTGGTGGAATTAAGCACACAGAAAGAGACGTTTCCATGGGCCCCTGGAGGTGAGGGTGGAGTGAGGGAAGTCACCAGTTCTAACAGTTCCCCCATTTCCTCCTATTTAGCCTCAAGTCCCTGGTAGATGGATATAAACAGTGGTCGTCCAGTGCCCCCAACCTGGGGAAGGGCCCGAGGAGTAGCCCAGCCCTGCCAGGGTTCACCAGCCTTATGGAGATGGGTAAGCATGGCCCTTGTCCTGACTGTCCCTGTTCCCTCAGGGAACTCCTGGCCAAGCTTCTGGGAGTGTTTGAGGACTCCTAGTACCACCTCATGGGGATTGTCTCCTCTTTGACCCAACTCCTGGGCCCTCACCCTATTCCCTCTTCATTGGCTCTACTCCCATTGCATCAAACCTTCCCAAATCACAGTTTGTTCCCACTGCTGCCATGGAGCCTGCCCTTGGCCTCCTATCCCAGGGCGCCGGTTGTAGTCTCCTTAGGGCAGTGCAGAGGGTGAGGACTTGAATCAGGCGCTTCCATCTGCTTGGGTCTCTTTGTATTTTAACGTGGGGAGTCTGCAAGACAGGAGATGGTGGTGGAAGACACTGTGGTCTTTCTCTAAGGAAGCTTTCCAGTTGCCTGTGATTGCTGAATGGGTCTTCTCCAGGCTCCCTCTCTCTCTCAGATAGGATGTCCTCTTCTCTCTGAAGATTTCCAAGTCTTAGTAGGTCAGTCTACAGCATAGATGGGCCTTCACCCATGTAGAGGATTCCAGTCCGTTGCGGGACACTGGTCTTGAGACCGGCCTCTAGGCCATTGTTGTAGAAATTCAAGGTCCCTTCCAGTTTTAAGGTGCAAAAACATTAGGGATGTTTCTGTTCTACCCACTATTCTAGGAAACTCACACACTGTACCTCTTGTGTTGAGGATCCCAATGCAAGAAGTAGGAAATTAGCAGATTTGTCTGCACACAGGAAAATAGGCTCTGGAATGGAGAGTGATTGCCTCATACTGGCCACGGTTGAGTGTGGAGGGGTAAAGCCCTGTGGGTTCAATGCCCGGTCCTTATCCTGCCTGTGAGACTGTTTGACCCTTGCACTCCTGAAAATCCACCAGGAGGCCCAGGGTTGGGGAGAAGGGTGAGATTCTTACTCTTGCTGCCTCATTCCCATTTCCTGTCCCCCACACCCTGCCATTTTTGTCGTCTCCAGAGGATGAGGACAGCGAAGGTCCCAGGAGTGGGGAGAGTCGTCTACAGCATTCACCCAACCAGTCCTACCTCTGTATCCCGTTCCCTCGCGGAGAGGATGGGGAGGGCCCCTCCAGTGATGGAGTCCACGAGGAGCCCACCCCAGTCAATTCAGCCAACAGTACCCCTCAGCTGACGCCAACTAACAGCCTCAAGCGGGGTGGCACCCACCACCGCCGTTGTGAGGTGGCTCTGCTTGGCTGTGGGGCTGTTCTCGCGGCCACAGGCCTGGGCTTTGACCTGCTTGAAGCTGGCAAGTGCCAGCTGCTTCCCCCAGAGGAGCCTGAGCCACCAGCCCGGGAGGAGAAGAAGAGGCGTGAGGGTCTTTTCCAGAGGGCCAGCCGTCCTCGTCGGAGCACCAGCCCCCCATCCCGGAAGCTCTTCAAGAAGGAGGAGCCCATGCTGTTGCTAGGAGACCCCTCTGCCTCCCTCACGCTGCTTTCTCTCTCCTCCATCTCGGAGTGCAACTCCACCCGCTCCCTGCTGCGTTCCGACAGTGACGAGATCGTGGTGTACGAGATGCCCATCAGTCCGGTTGAAGCCCCACCCCTGACCCCTTGCACCCACAACCCCCTGGTCAATGTCCGAGTGGAACGCTTCAAGCGAGACCCTAACCAATCCCTGACTCCTACCCATGTCACCCTTACGGCCCCCACGCAGCCCAGTGGTCACCGGCGGACTCCTTCTGATGGGGCCCTCAAGCCAGCGGCTCTCCTAGCCAGCAGGAGCCCCTCCAGCAATGGGTTGAGCCCCAGCCCAGGAACAGGTGAGTTCCGTCCTCCTTTTCTCTTTCCTGCTCTTGGGCCGCCCGGATGTGGCAAGATTGGAGTGAATGGCAAAATTAGAATGACAGTTCCTCCTCTGACTCGGCCCACCAGGACGAGCTGCCCTGGGGTTGGAGAGATGGCCAGGCCGACTGATTTCTCTCTGTCCTGTGCCTCGGCAGGGGGCTTCCCTGAGGAGTGAAGGCAGACCGCAGGTTCTGGGAAGAATCGGACCCAGGGCTCCTGTAGGATGTTCAGGCCCTGGGTCTTGGAGGGCACAGTGCAGTGCCTTCAGGGCATAGGAGGGGCAGGAGCCGAGCTGTGCTCGTTCCCTGAAGTGGAGACAAAAGTTACCAGAAGGAATGCTACACTCATACAGGAGGGGTATTTGTGCCACGTAGCTGGGCTCTTGCCTGTGATTACAGCTTAGTACAGACCTACTCGTGGGCAAGCTTCCTCCCATGCATCCTGCCTGTATCGCTCATCCCTTGTTCATGCCTGACTCCAAATCCAGATACATTCCTGTGCCTGTGCATGAGCTCGCCTTCCCTGACGCTGAGCCACCTGGGTGTCCATATCCCTGTCTTTTCCTGCCACTGTCACTTGCTCCCTAGAAGACCGAAACCTGACTTTGCAACCCCTCTCACCCAGTAGGAGAGGAGATGGCGACTGGGATTTCAGGGAGATTTTGAGTGTAAATGACAATTGTATTTTCCCTTTCGGCTTTAGATTTTTTGTTGTACTCAGGTATGTGTCCTCTTTGGGAAGAGACCTTATGACTCATCTTCAGATTTTTGAGACCTAGATTTGTTCTGGCCTCACATGTTTATTAAATGGATGAACTGGAAATAAACAGACACTTCCTTACGTCAGGGGCCAGCAAACTTTCTCGGTAAAGGGCCAGATAGTAAATATTTTAAGCTTTTGGGGTCGTATGGTCTCCGTTGTAATTACTCAACACTGCTGCTGTCGTGGGAGAACAAGCCGTAGGTACGGCTGTGTTACAATAAAACTTGTTTTTCAGACCACAGGGTGGCCCATGGATCGTAGGTTTTTCATTACGGATGTGACCCCCGTATGTCCTCTTCTTATTTTATTATCGGAGACAGTGATCATGGCCTTCTAGTTCACTGTTGTATCCCCAGTGCCTCCCGGCACACTCTGCTGCACATCGTAGGTGCCGCTTAAATATTTGTTGCTCGTGTTATTCCAGGTGAATAGGGATGTGGCAGGTATGGGGAGGGAGCAGTGTCTATCTGGTCTAGAAATGTGTGCCATCACCTGATGCCTCTCCTTCTGTCTCTTTGCCCAGGAATGTTGAAAACCCCCAGCCCCAGCCGAGACCCAGGTGAATTCCCCCGTCTCCCTGACCCCAATGTGGTCTTTCCCCCGACCCCAAGGCGCTGGAACACACAGCAGGATTCTACCCTGGAGAGACCCAAGACCCTGGAGTTTCTGCCTCGGCCACGTCCTTCTGCCAACCGGCAACGGCTGGACCCTTGGTGGTTTGTGTCCCCCAGCCATGCCCGTAGCGCCTCCCCAGCCAACAGCTCCAGCACGGAGACACCCAGCAACCTGGACTCCTGCTTCGCTAGCAGCAGCAGCACTGTGGATGAGCGGCCCGGACTCCCGGCCCTGCTCCCGTTCCAAGCGGGGCCGCTGCCCCCTGCTGAGCGGACGCTTCTGGACCTGGACGCAGAGGGCCAGAGTCAGGACAGCACCGTGCCGCTGTGCAGAGCCGAACTGAACACACACAGGCCCGCCCCTTATGAGATTCAGCAAGAGTTCTGGTCTTAACACGAAAAGGGTTGGGGGAGGGCAAGGGGGAAGCAGGAGGAGATGGGGGGAGCTGGCTGGCACAGCCCTTTCTCGGAGTTGGACCCCCTGAAATCCAGCCCTACTTCTTGCACTGATAATGCACTTTGAAGGTGGAAGGGATGGAAGCAGGGCCACTTCAGAGGGTCCCCTGCCCTGTAGGGCCTTTCTACCCATGTCCACTGGAAGGGGCTGTGGCCATCAGCTCTGGCTGTGTAGGGGAGGGAGGGGTGCGTGCATGTCCCCCACCCTCCACAGTCTTCCTCGCCTTTACGGTGACTCTGCAGGGTCACTCAGCCAAATCTGTCTGCTGCCCCCTCTCCTCAGCCCCCTGGGTAAGTCTGGAGCCTGTCCCGGAGTCCTTTTGTTAGCCCTGAGTTCAGCCTTCCCAAACACCAGTATTGGATGATCTGTGATTGATTTTGCTCCTCTTCCACATTCTTCCCCAGCACCCATGAATCAGAGTCTCATCTGGTGTGAGATACACGCTTTTCTGTGCCCTAAGCCCTTACGTGCCCGCTGGAGGACTGAAGGCAAAGTGCCCCAGTGTGGGACGTAGGAGTTGAGGGACCTGGTACTTACCCGCCTGCCCTTCCAGGTGCCCCGCTTATTTATTTGAGCCCCACAGGGGTAAGGGGACCTGGGGGGAGGAGAGGGAATTAGGAAAAACAGAGTCGAGTGGCAGCAAAGAAGGTAACAGAGTCTGCCCTTGTTCCTTTCGGAAACACACAAATAAAGGCAGAAACCAGCACCTGTTGATGGCATCCATCTCCTACCCGGGGTCTGGACGTGGCCAGACCAGTTTCCGATACAAACATGCTCATCCCAAGGATAGTTTCTTGGGAGACTCACTCACTGGTGCCAGTTCTGAAGCCAGAGACAAAGTTCCTGTGTTGGTCCGTTATGTTGTTCTGGTCGTTATGTGTTATGCCCTTCCCTGGATCTTTCCTCCAATCCCTGGAGCCAGTGGATTATGTGTTTGGCTGGTAGATATCTCTGCACTGCACCAAAATAGCATATTGGTGGTGGGGGGGTGGGAGGGTCCCGGACACTGGGAGCTGGAACTGTGGGGATTTCTTCTCAGCCACACCACCCATTACGGGATGCCCTTGAAGTAAAACGGAGCCATCAGTGGTACCTTCCACACACGGATATGGTGAGGCGATGATGTTCGTGGGGTGCTTAGTGAGCCACTGATATACAGGAACCTTTGAGCCCCAGGCACTGCAGACTGACCGAGGGCTCATGCCTCTGGGCACAGGTGGCCCCTGATGCTGGGCTCTGGACCCTGAGCTGGGTAGGAAGGAGAGCAGAGGCCAACCCTGACTTTTCTGGAATCTGTTTCCTTAACTGGAATGTTGAGCTGCTTGTGGAGCTTCCTCCTGTGTGCCTGCACCATTTCCAGTTCCCCTGGGGCCTCCCGTGTCAAGTGTGAGCGGTTGCCTTTGTGCAGGACGCACACGTAAACTTGATTGGGAGCAGAGCCTTGGGTCATGCTCCTCTCCCCTCCAGACTCTCCAAATGTGGCTTCCCTGTCTCTTATCATGGAATATTTCCTTGGAGACGTTGGCGGACCGCCTGCAGGTTCCCTGCATTTGCTGCCCGCCTGCCAGAAGGAGGAAAGCAGTGAAGCTGGCACAGATGATGAGTTTGGTCACCGCTCTGTCTCTCTGTCACTATGATCAAGTCCCAACCCGGGAATGAGGAAAGGGGTGACCTTGGTTTTCGAATGGCTCCCTGTTTTATGAGCTCACTGGTACTTTGGTTCAAGGGCCCCCCCTCATCTTGGGTGGGAGGCACTCAGTTTTGTTGCCCGTGGTGTCTCATCTCTCTCCTCTTTTTTCAGTGAAGACTGTAGAGATTTTTTTTTTTTTTTTTTTTTTTTTTTTTTTGCCTCCGTCCCCTCACCCCTTGGCTGGGGTGGGGGAGGGGGAGGGGTTGTGGAATGTGAATCCTATTAACAGTTCCAGCCAACCGAGGGACTCCTCTTCATTCTTGATTGGGGAAGGGGCCACAGATGGTGTGTTCTGGGCCCTTCCCTGGACTCTCCATAGCCCCAGTTCCTAAGTCTCTAATGTGTCTATAAGCCCTTGGCTCCACTAAATGGCCCTTTGGCGGGGCGCAGCACACAGCATAATCCAAACCTTGCTGGCTCTGGGCAGTGCTCTGTGCTGTGAGGCAATTGACCGTTTTCTACTTTTTGTTGTTTTGCTAGGTTGCAGCCATCTTTTGGGGAAGTGGTAGTATAACTGATGTAATGGGCACGGAGTGGTGGCCACTTGCCATTGAGTAAGAGGCTGAACCCATTTCTTAGTCCTCCAGCCGGAGGAAAGACAAAGACTGGGTCTGCCATTGGTAGAATTGCACCTGTCGGAGGCAGAAGCAGGATTAGTCTGAGGCTGCTTCGTGAGCTGGCGCAAAGACAGAGGCATTCTCTCAGCTCCTCCATATCCCGTCTCTGATGGGCCCCTGCCTGCCACATTCTCTCTCTGTAGGATGAGGCGTGGTGGGATAAGGATCCTATAGAATTTGAGTTGTCCACGTAGGCTCCCTTGTCTCTATGGTCACGGTCAGGAGCAGGCCTTGAAGCTGGGATTGAGCCCCTTCGTTAGCAGTAGCCAGAATCCCTTTTTCTCTTTCCGTTTCTTTCCTTCCCTCTGTTCTTGGCAGGTGTTCATTACCCAAAAGTGATTGGATGATTGGAATCCAGTGGCCCCCAGCATCAGGGGCCACCAGTGATGGTGATTGGAAACAGATACTGCTCTCTGCCCTTTCTCCTCAGATCCCTCGTCTCCTTCCACTGATTCTAAACAGGATTATCCTCTGTTTACCCCCCCCTTGGGGATCCAGGTCCCTGCCAGGGGCTGAGTGGATGTCTCCATTATCCTCATATTTTTTCTAAGACGCTTGGTGGTTACTCTCTCTTCACTTCACATCCTTTAGTATCCCAAGGGTCTGGTAGTAATGATGAAGATGATGATGATGATGTCTTCTATTTGTCAACTCAGAATAGCGCTAACCTTTCCTCCTGGCCTTTACAAAATTGCATCATTTTCCTTCTGATACACTTGCTGGTAGAGAAAAGAAAATGCTTAAAGAGGAAGAAATTCAAGGGAAGGGAAATTTGAAAGCTGCCTGGACCGGTCGCTGAGTCGGGCACCAAGCTCTAAGACTTGAACAAGGTGTCTGTCTTCCACCATCTGTTTTGCTGTCTGGCTCCCCTTTTAGCCACTCTCACATTTCCTTCCTGTAAAAGCAACCATTACCTGTTTCCCGGTCAAGGGCAATGAGAACATGTTTCAGAGCAGGTCGGCGAAGCATGCAGCTCCCAGCCGGCCATTAGGACACATTGCTGACCTTAACAGTGTGGTCCTCACCACTTTTGCCTCTAAGGGACTTGCCTAGTGTTTCTTACTTTGGTTTCTGGAAGAGTAGTGGTTTGGAGCTGGCTTAGAATGACTAACGGGGGCCATGGTCAGGCACATCTTCTTCTGCGTTTATGCAGCACCTGGTGTTTACAGACCTCCTTTCTGATCCCCCCACTTAACTTGTCAGGCTGGTCTTTCCCAGCATTAGTGTCTTAGGAAGGAGGAAAATAGACCGGGAGGCTGGAGTCAGCATCAGAATGACAGTTTGGGGTCTTGGAGTTTTTAGGAGTCATTCCCAGAGTCTTGTTTTTTTCGAGACTGGAATGAGGCCTATTTAATTCCTGGAAGAATCTTTGCGAGAAGGTCTGCCGGCCCTTGGGACGCATGTCCTGGTGTGAGGTTCTTTACAAGGCCCCTTTCCCCTCACACCACGGTTGCTCAGGGACACAACAGGACATCCCAAGGGCATCTAGGTGTGGCTTGTTGTCAACACTCCTATTCCTCAGTCCCCACATTGGGCCCCCCTCCTCCCTCTGGCCCCCACAAGGAGGGAGACCCCTCCTGAGCATTGCTAACTCTTCAAGCTTGCTTTTAACAAAAGCACAGAACAGCGGGTTCTGAAAGGCTGGATGGCTGTGAATGGTTACACTTCAGGGAGACTTGATCTTTTCTTCATGTGTTTAATTAAGCCTGTGCTTTTGACTCAGGTATGTGAGCCCCGCACCCCCCCCCCCCCCCCACCCGCCTTCAAGCTGGTTGGAAACACTCCATTGCCTCTTGGAGGATTTGGGGGAAGAGGCAGGTGTTGCCCTTGCTGTAGTGCTGGGCCTTTCCTGAAAGCTCTGCCAGAGACTGGCCCTGGGTCAGGGGTGAGAGCAGCCCACACCACAGTGTGTTGTGATCATAAATGACCATGATTGGCAAGAACGGCAGGAACACGGTGACCTGAGCTGCCCACATGCTAGTGTGTGAAGTTGCAAGTGTCTCCTCCCCTCTGTGGACCTGTGAGCCCAACAACGAACTGAGGATGATGCTCTCTTCCCTACCTGAAGCACGAAGCCCTTTAACTTTAAAATGTATGGTCCTGGAACCCAGGGTCCAGCACTGATAAGCCTCACCTTGCTAGTTTATTTCCCTTTGTGGAGAAAAGTGTGGGGGTTGGGTGGGGTGGGGGGTGGTTGTAGGTCAAAACCAGCCGAATATTGGCAATTTCTTGTGGTTCAGCCTACTAGGCCACTTGCCTCTCTCCTTGGCTTCAGGCCTAAGGATGGCTTCTTGTCAAGCTACATTTAGTCCTAGGAACACATTCCTAAATGCTCTCTTCTTTCAGACAAATCATTGCTTTCTTAGATCAGGAATTCAAATTAGTAAAAATCCACATCAGAAAGGAGAACCCACTGCTGCTTCTGGGAGTTCTCGGTCCCTGGCACCTTCCGGGCCTTGCCACTGGACCCTTGGCATCTCAGGCACTGGTGTTTGAAGGCAGGAGGCAGAAACCGGAGTCCCGGCTAATTACGGCTAATTAATAGGATTTAGGTGCCTAACCAGCCTGACCCAGCTCTGGGCTTCTGGTTGGCTGTGCAGGTCAGGTGAACCTCTCATCATCTTCTCAGA